TGACTCTTAACTTTTATAAAGAATATCTCTTTGGATTTGAGACTTTAGTCTCACAGATCTTCTTTATGCACCAAAAGCTTGTAACACTCTAAAGAGAAAGGAAAAATTTAAATCGCATCATATGACCCCTTTAAAATAGGGATTTTTAAAAAACCACTGGGTGGATTTTTATCATTATAGGATGGATGTTTACACTCACTTCCAACACACATTTATGTTCAAACAACAACAAAAGTGAATTTTGCATCCGATGACCCCTTATATTTATATATACGTATGTATGTATGTATGTGTGTGTGTGTGTGCGTATTCATTCGGACATAAATAGATAAAAAGGTAATAATTTCTTGTGCCAGGGCCAGTGAAGTTCACAGTTTCACAGTAAAGGCTGATTTATACTTCTGCGTCGGATCTACGCCGTAGCCTTTACGCCGTAGGCTACGCGCATTTATACTTTTATACTTCTGGGTCGTTGTCCACGTCAACGTGCAGTACACATGCAAACCGCTAGTCTGCAGTGTCCACGGGCAAAAGCCGAAGAAGAAGTGGCTCGTCGGAGAAGTATTATAGCCGTGACGGTGGCAAATAAATATCAAATCATTATTTAAAACTACAAAAAGGAGACAACAACGGAACAGGAGATAATGGCATTCTTTCAATCTGCCAACTACTGATGTATAATGTTATGTAGTATAATAAATGATAAGACACTTGTTCTTTGCTTTGTTTTATTTTATATAAGAAGGTGTAACATTAAAATATATTAAAGTGCACATAAACACACGCAGAACTCAAGTACATATGGAGGGAGGGGTTCTAGCAGACCAATCACAGCGCTTGCGGTCTGCTGTTAGAGTTTTGGAGAGGTGCACATCAGGATACGACGTATGCGTGTGCGTCTATGCGTAAGCTACGGCGTAGGTCCGACGCAGAAGTATAAATCAGCCTTTAGACCAGCAATACATAGAAAGTGAATACTAATTTTGATTTAAAGTTGACAAAATAAGACATGATCCTAATGAAATTGAAATGGGGAAAAAACATATGGATAACAACAGTTATGTTGCAGTTTTGAAATTTGAAAAGTTTGATCTACTACACAAACATAATCTAATTAATGTACTATGATAGTACCGTGGTACACTGTTGTCATCAGACGGCAATGCCATGACATATCAAATATAAATATATATATATATACACACACAATTTAAAAGCAGAAGCTTATCATTTTATAAAAGCACTTATTGTTGGGAGCTGTAAAGCTTTTTAAAATCATTATTTTACAGTTGTTTAAGCATTTTAGGGTTTATGACAAGTTATTTATACACGTAAGTTAATTATATTGGATGTAATCATTTTGAAAACCTTAGAAACTAATTTTTGGCACATTAAAATCATATTAACACCGTCTTGGATACATCATTTTTTTTTTACAAATTGTGGTAACCCAGATTATTTTGTTTTTAATTAAAATAAAAGTAAAGAAAATTCAAATAAAATTGTTTTAATTACATCACAGACCTTACCCACTTCAACTACTGAACCTGGAATGTGTGATGATTGTCATACCTGAATGTGATATATATATATATATACACACATACACACACACACACAGAGACACACACACACACACCGAGAGACACACACACACACACACACAGAGACACACACACACACACCGAGAGACACACACACACACACACACAGAGACACACACACACACACCGAGAGACACACACACACACACACACAGAGACACACACACACACAC